GCAGCACACAGCTTCGCCTCTTCTAATAACTCTCGCGAGACCCGCGGAGCGTTGCCATGGTAACCGGATCTCGCGAGAGTTATTGTAAGAAAGAAGAGAGGAGGAGAAGCTGTGTGCTGCCTGGGCCCCCTCTGCGGTAACAGGGAGCCAGGGGCCCGCGGCTGCACACATAGATAGCGATATTCGCTATCTATGTGTGCAGAGAAACAAAGTGGGGCCCAGGACTGCCAGAGCAGTCCGGGCCCCCCAGGGCCGCCGGGCCCGTGACAACAGTCACGGTTGTCACCCCCTGATGGCGGCCCTGGTCCCAAGGATGATATAGTGTCAGGTAAACGGGTTTGTTTTCCTGACAATACAGTGATCCTTTAAATGCTACACACAAGTACACCAGTACTCTGTACCCTTACACGCGCACACACATACGTTAGACAAAAATATGATTACATTCAAACGCACAAACACTGCTCACAAATACAACCCTGGCATGGAATTGTGGGAGTTCCACAATCTGTGCTAGACTGTGCTAGAGGGGGACCAAAAAAGATTCTTGCACCAGGGCCCTTGCTACATTACTTCACCACTGGCATAAACATTGTCAATATAGGCAGAGCAGAAGATTTAGCAACTCTGAAAATAAAGAATGTTGGTAAAGGAGGAGTAGACAAGTCAATATCCAGTACACTGTGCATCTAGGTGTCACCGTAAAACTGTTTTAGGAACTGGAATTTCCACTCGCTGTCTCTACTACCTGAGCCAGAGGCCCACAGCCAATGAACTAGCTTTACACTGCAGTGCTTGGCTCAGGTGAGCTAATTGAAAGTCCTAGCCAGAAGCTTATGGTCCTCTGTCTGATATAAATGTGTTGGGGAGTGGCGCCCTGCATTCTAAAATGGTTTGACTTCATACAATGGCACTGTGGCAAAAGTAACCTCGCCACTGGAACTTGGAGGGGCCTGATTGCCAGCCTCTTGCCCCAGGATGTATCAGACCTGGATTCAGGACTGGGGAAAGTCTTTGTCCATGCCTTTTCCCTTCTACAGTCCAATATATGGAACTACCGAATGGATTGTGCCTATGGTGTTTGTTTACCGAACCAACAACCGAACAGCCGGACCACACACAAGTGGAGTGTGCAGCCCATTTACCTCCCAGGCTGGTAGTTAACCGCAGCCAAATTGATGTACGGCTGGGTGGTCGCCGTTCATATAGTCGAAAACAAGTGGCAGCGGCCATATTGTTTAGTCTAACGTGATCAGCTGTGTTTTGCCGTCGAGTCCATGGAACTCAAATCCGACATTCGACGGCACGAACACTGCTGGGACTTCCACCTCCAGCTAGGTTAGACTAGAACTGCACAAATGTAGCGCCATTCGGTAGAAATAATCTACCGAACCATATATACTCACTGACTATGTGCACGAATGGCTACATTCGACTACTGGAACTTTACTTCGTCTGTTTGAAATAGACCGGCCGCACAGCCTATTTCTCTGGCACTGTTTTGGGCATGAAACCATGCATGTGGTCAGTCAAAAGAGTCTTCCAGGAATTTCCTGAACCCCTGCTTGGATCTGTGTGAATTTTGGATATGTCCTTCACCCAGATCAGGGCTATCCGGAAATGTAATATGTATGGTGATATGTTATGTTATGGGGTGTTTTCTATACTTTGGGGAACATGTGTGTTTTTCCCCCTGTGGATAATTAGGGTTATTGTTTTAACTACTTTAAATATATCCCAGGCAGAGGGGAGGGATTGTTTGCTCTATGTGGGAGTGTTGGTCATTATTACAGTGTTCTTATTGGTTTATGTCCTTTGTGTGCCTGTGTTCCATCAGGTCCAGAGAGGTGTGCCTCTGGCCTGAGGAATTGTATAAATTGTGATTGCTTGCTTCCATTAAACAGACCTGCTTGACCCCATTATGAAGTCTTGGTTCATGTTTGGGGCATGGGATAACTACACTTTTGGGGATTGCTATAATCACAATACTCCCCTGAGTATAAGCGCTTGTAAGAGCTTGTTCCTGCTATGCTCTTTGGAGTAGGAGAGGTCTACCTACTGGAAGCTGGATCCTGATCTTGGGTTCAGGGTGGGTGGAGGACGGTGTTGTGCCTAATCATTAAATTAATGAAGCACCAATATCCAAAAAGTAATACTCAATTACCTAATAAGGTTTGTAGCGATATTGGCGGTCACACAACCCAGTTCGGGATGAGTATCTTGGGCTATAGGAAAAAGAAACCACACAGAGACCAAGTTGCAGATAAGAATTCACACCACACTTTATTGTCCACAAGGGGACCCAATACAGAGTAAGCTTAACTCTTATTAAGTAGTTGCATGCACTCACTGCAAAACAACTTAGAATCTAGATATATCAGCTTAAGTATACATCACCATTAGAGGGGCTTGGTTGTGTCCTCTGCACGTGACTGGGGGAACTCTGACAGTCAGGCTTGGAGGGACCCTTTCTGGGAACAGCAGAGACCAGCAACACGCGTCCTCATTACAGGTGGGTAGTTCTCCAAGTGAGTGCCAAGTTTCTCTGTCTTTTATACCTTTTACTAAGTTTGTATCTTTTCCAAGATTTCTTATCAGTGTAGCCCAGCATGTATCTTGTCATGCGCATTAAGTAATCAGTATGGTTGATCAAGCCAGTCATGACCACTCAAGGCCCATGCCAGACACATGTGGTATCTTATTCTATCTCTAACCCTACTCTTATCTTT